CTACTTGTAAAAAGTTTAACTGAGTTTTAATAAAGATAGAGGCATGGCCTCACCTTTAATATTAAAAAAAAAAATTACTATAAAGTAACTATATAGATAGATACTTTATAGCTACTTTATAGCTAATTACAAGTAGCATTAAAGTTGCAAATTTGCAAGTTTCAGTAAAGTATTTTTGTTATATTCTTTTGTTTAACCATAATTTGTAAACTTAATATTAAGTGGTGGCACCAAAGAGCATTTTTTAGGCTTTGAAGAAGGTTAATTACAGCCAATTTTATTATATTTAAAAATATATATATATGATTTATTATTTAATTACTAAATTGAACTATCATTAGAATTAGCAAAAAACCAAACAGGTTAGTCGTCAATACTGATGAAATTGGCCATAAAGTCCGAAATAACGCTACAAGGATAAGGCCATATCTATTAAAAAAGCATCTGCTAAATCTGGCAAGATCATTTACATATACGTTTGGAATATATATGATTTATTGCAGGGTCTTATGTAACAACTCGTATTTTTTCGTACTGGATTGTACGTCAGACACCGTGAATAACTCGTAGCTGGAGGCCACGGGTTATTCGCTACATACCCATAGCTAAAATATATATGCTTTGGAATATATATACGTATAATATATACGCATATTTAAATGTTACACGTGGTTCTTTACGCTAAGCAAAGCAATTTTTGATTGGAAGCAATATGGTTTCAAAATATTATGTAATTATTAGATATGAACCATATTATTGAAAAGTTTTAAGTGCAGTCATTTTGCACACAAAATTATGTTTATATTATATTAGCTTTCAGGATTTAAGGCTTTATGATTTATGTTTTTTTTTTGATTTATTATTTATTTAAGATTCTAATTGCTTTTTGTACTTAACGTTACTTTTAATTAATTATTTATTAGTAATTGTATTTGATAATCGTGGAATTGGAGAATCAACCGTTGCTTCTTATGATGACCCTATCACGATTGAATTAATGGCTCAAGATACAATTGAATTAATTAAACATCTTGGAATTAAAAGATTTAATTTATGTGGAGGGTCTATGGGTGGTAATATTTAAATTTTAAGTATTAATTATTTCTTTTAATAGTAATAAGTCTTTTTTATTTAATTAACGTTGTTTATTCCTACATTTTAATATGAAAATTTTATAGGCAATATAGCACTCTGTACTGCCCTGAACGTCCCTTCAGATCTTAAGCTGGAGAAATTAATTATTGGTTCAAGGTACATACATAAATTGCATAATTAATTTATAATACATA